CGATGAGGTATTACATATACTCTGTGCTGGCAGTATTGTCTGCATACCATATATAGACAAAACCTTGGGAAATCCCAAACCAGGCTCAGCATGAGGAGGATGCAGAATGCAGTATATGGGGCCCGGCACTAGAAAGCTCTGGGGATCTCTCTTCATATCATACTACAGTGGCTCTAAAATTGGCCTTTACCAAGAGAGGATCCGGAGAGGGAAAGGAGTGAATGGATTTGGGGCTTCCTGGGAGCTGGGTGACCTCATTCTAGGACACTTCCAAAGGCACTAGAAAATGGTGAGCAACACCTCCCCCCCCCCCCAATAGCAGTGTCTGATTGAAAACCAAGCAGAGGCAGGGGACTACCAAATAAGGACCTTAGTGCTTTGCTGGATACAATCAAATAGTGGAGTAGGATTATGATATGCACTTCTGGTTGGAATTTTGTTTTCCTCTGTGGAAATCTTTTACAGCTGTTTTGGGCAGGTTATTTAAATTTACACCAAAGTAGATGACTCGGTGGTTCTCAAGAAAGGGGAGGGTACTATGGCGTGTCTGACATACCAGTCAATGTCTTTGAACTATATTGTGCTGGAAGAAATATTCCGTACTTGGAGTTAGAAGGCCTGAGTCTGAGTCCCAGTGTCAATACTTATTAGCCATATTGTTTAGTCACTTTCAGTCGCGTCTGAGTCTTTGCAACCCCATCTGGGGTTTTCTTAGCAGAGATGCAGGAGTGGCTTGCCATTTCTTTCTCCAGCTGACTTTACAGATGAGGAAACTGAGGCAAGCAGGGTTAAGTGACTTGCCCAGGGTCACACAGCTAGTAAGTGTCAGCGGTCAAATTTGGACCCAGTTCTTCCTGACTCCAGAGCCAGAACGCTATCCACTGCGCCACCAACTCTGTGCAAATCATTAACCTCTCTGAGCCTCAGTTTCTTAATCTGTCAAAATGTATGCTACTTCCTGTACATCATAAGACTATTGTGAGGAAAGGGTTTCCTAAACTTTAAAATGCTATAAAATGTGAGACTGTACATGGAATATTCAACCAGGAACTTTCAGAAATCAGCCTGGAGAAAAGCACTCAGAATTCTGAACGGGGCCAGGAAGACAAGATGAATCATTCTCCATCTGGAACAACCAGTCCACACTTAAAAAAGTGTGATGAGAATATCTGTTCTTGCCATACTTCCAGCACCTCCTGAGCACCTCTGGTCATCCATCCCCCATCCCTTTGTGCTGCCCAGCAGCAAGGAGGCCCCCCAGGCACTTCCCCAAGTTGCCTAAGACACACCAGAAGCCAGCATGTAATAGAGTCAATAGAGAACAGCCAGATCATTTTCAGCCTCTAGAGGCAAGCTGGTGGAGGGGAAGGAGGGCCGGGCAATGAGTCAAGAGACACGGATTCAAATCCAGCCTGGGTCATTTTGCTACCTGTATGCTCTTGGGTAAGTTTATGGCCTCAGTCTCCTGTTTTAGATGATGGTCCTTATGATTTGCCTTACTGGCAGCTAGGTGGTGCAGTGGATAGCATGCCAGGGCTGGAGACAGAAAGATTCACCTTCCTGAGTTCAAATCTGGACACTTAGTTGTGTGACCTTGTGCAAGTCACTTAACCCTATTGGCCTCAGTTTTCTCATCTGTAAAATGAGCTGGAGAAGGAAATGGCAAACCACGCCAGTATCTCCGCCAAGAAAACTCCAAATGAGGTCACAAAGAGTCAGACATGACTGAAAACAAAAACAACTCAGCTGAGCTTACCTTATAGGATTGTTGCAAGGAAAATGTTACATAAATATGGGCAAGCCTTAGGATCATGAGATTCAGCATAGGATGGGGACTTTTGAGTTCATATCTAGTTCAACCCTCTCCAGGCTCTATTACTATTATTTCTGTTTAGAAAGGAGTCTAAAGGGCTTGTAATCCCTGATATTGGGGAGGCTTAAGATTTCACAGGGGTAAAAAGGTAATAAATAAGACACGAATTGGACATGAAGGCTGCAGGTCACACAGCTAGTAAGTGTCAGGGGTAGGATTCAAACTCAGGTCCTCCTGACTCTAGATCCAGCATCTCTCATTGCCCAAGGCCACAAAGTCAGTAGCAGGGCCCAGCGTCAACTCAGGTCATCTGGCTGGAATCTGCTAAATCACACTGTCTGACTGAGGTATTAGAACCCTCTGGACTCTTGTGTTTTAATGTGAATTCTTTCAAAGTTTGTTGAAACAGTGACTGTTATGAGCAGGAGACACTATGCGAGGTGTCTATGGGGAGATACAAAGTTTAAGTAGGATACAACTCCCACCCTTGAGGAAGTTCCAGTTTAGGAGGGGTGTAAGATGCAGTGAGCTGCAATACATCCTATTACGAGATAAGTAAAACAAGGAGGTACAAAGCAGAGTACTGTGTGAATTTAAAGGGAAGGCTATTAACACCAAGCAGAGGTATCGGGGGAGGCTTCCCAAAGGAGGTGGTGTTTGAGTTGGCCCTTAAGAAATAGGTAGGCATTTCAAAGGTAAAGAGGGAGATTGGTCTGCCAAAGTGAGCAACCCAGGATATTTAAGAGGAACACAAAATATAGAGGAAGAAGCCCTATTCTGGGAGTTTTATCCTCCCAATAAAAGTATTTTTGACAGGCACTATATTTAAACCACAGCGAGGAGATTCGTTTTCACAGATAAGAGATAAGAGAAGTCAGTAAACTCCTTTAAAAAAAAAACTGCTACTGTCTGTAATATCCCTTTGGTACCTAGCAAGTGCATTTGGTGGGAATGGGGATTGAGGTGACTTCCTGGGACCTCCTGTGGGGACAGGTAGCAAAATGGCCAAGTCTGGACTTGAATACATGTCTCTTGACTCATCACCCAGCCCTCTTTCCCGTCCACCATCCTGTCTCTAGAGGCTGAAAAGGCTCCATATTTTCTCTATTGACTCTATTGACAGCTAAAATAAGTTTCCTCTAAGGGAACTGGGTGCCACTCCCAATCATGGGGCGGTGGGAAAGAGTATAATCTTTGTGGGGAAAGGCAAGCTCTGACGTTGTGGGCTCCTGCACTGCTGATAATAAGCCTGTTATTTGGGAGAAAAGAGGAGGATGTCCATTTGCCCTATTATTGTTTCAGGAGGTTTCCATAGGAGTATGGACCTATACCCCTGGCTACAACCTCGGTTCTGACTTGGTTTCTACCTAGAGATGTGTTTAATGGTATCATAGGAACCCACTGTCAACTTTTATGATGAGTAGCTCTGTAATCCCCCAGTCCCCAGGTTTGACCTCCATCTTCACCCCTACCCCCTATTCCCACTGACTTTGCAGAGAATTTGTCTTTGCTCACATTGAGTTGCAGGAGGGGCCAAGGATTACTCCCTGGCCCAGCTGTTTAGAAAGAGGGCTCTAGAAATAAAGGTCTCCACAGATCCCTATGTGCAGAATAGGATACCCAGGAGAGGATGGTGTAATGGATAGAACACTGACCCTAGAGGCAGAAAAATCTGAGTTCAAATCCTAACTCAGATTCTTTCTAGCTTTGGGACCCTTGGTAAGTCACATGACCTCTCTGTGCCTCAGTTTCCTCATCTATGAGCAATGAGCCTCTGCCATCCCTTTCAGATTTTAACCAGATTTATGGCATGGGAGAAAGTGGGTTATTCCCTTATTTGGAAAACCAAAGCTTCTCATCTTGAAAATAATGTTTCCCTGCTTGCTACCTTGAGCTATCATTCCATATTTCTCATTCTTTTCACTCCCAAATTTCTAAAATAATTTGCAAACACTCACTAGCCCTACTTTCTCATGAACTACTCTCTTTTTACTCCCTGCCACTGGGTTTCAGTCACAGAATCACCAAATGTCAGAGCTAGAAGGAGCCAAGGTTCATTTCTAGGCCTTTGTCTGGACAGAGCAAATGAGAACCGTATTCTCCCATGTTCATCCCTTTTAAGTCCTGAGTGTCTAGAGACTGACACAGCCATTTCTGTTTCTGCCTCCTGCTCCTAGCTGAAATGCTCTCTCCTAATGACAATTCATCACTGTTTTGTGCAAAGAAATCCTCACCTTGCCCAGGAAACTGACTATGGAGGAAACTGGTATGAAGATGCTTAAAGCTTTTCATAGAAGAGGTTAGGATGAGGCTTGGAAGACTGATGATAGACATTTGACAAGATATCTTGTCCCAAGAGATAAAAGGTCAAAAGATACAAAGAGGCAGTTATCAAAGGAAGAAATTCAAGTTATCAATATGAAATGAAAGAATTAAGAATGAAAAAATGCTCCAAATCATAAATTAGAGAAATGCACATGAAACAACTCTGAAGTTTTACCTCACACTCACCATATTTATGGAGATGATGAAAAAAGGAAAATGACAGTTGTTGGAGGGACTGTGGGAAAACAGACACAGTAAGGCAGTCAGTGCATCTATGAATTGTTCCAGTTATTCTGGAAAGTAATTTGGAACTATGCCCAGAAAGTCACTAAACTGTACATACTTGAATGCAATAATACCACTATTAAACCTATACTCTTTAGAGATAAAAAAAAGAGAGAAAGGCCCTATATGTACAAAACTATCTATAGAAGCTCTTTGTTATAGTGAAGAACTGGAAATTAAGGGAGCACTCATTAATTGGGGACTAACTGAATAAATTAGGGTATTTAAAGATAATGAAATATTGTTATGTTTTAAGAAGTGGTGAAATGATCAGTTTCAGAGGAACCTGGAAAAATTTCTATGAACAGTTGTAGAATGAAGTGAGAACCCAAAGAACAATTTATACAATAATATTTTAAAAGAAAAGCAGCTTTGAAAGAATTGAGAATTCTGATTAATGTAATAGCCAAACATGATTTCAGAGGACAGATGATGAAGCATGGATACAACCTCCTGAGAGAGATTACGGACTCAGATAAAGAACGAAATATGCATTTATTAGATATAGTTGTAGACATTTGTTTTGCATAACTGGATATTTGTTACATGGGTTTCCTTTTTCTTTTTTCTCTTTCAGGTTGGAGGAGGGAGTTGAGAGACAAGGAAGTGTTGAAGTTGTCGCCAATAATAAAAACAGTAACAATATCTAGCATTTATAAAGAGTTGGGGTTTTTTTAGGCAATTGGGGTTAAGTGACTTACCCAGGGTCACACAGCTAGTAAGTGTCAAGTGTTTTGTCTGAGACCAATTTGAACTCAGGTCCTCCTGACTTCAGGACTGGTGCTCTATCTACTGAGCCACCTAGCTGCCCCCATTTATAAAGAGTTTTAAAGTTTGCAAAGAACCTCACATATGTCATCTCACTTGATCATCACAACAACCCTGTTGTGCTGTTATTATTACCCCCATTTTCCAGATGAGGAAACTGAAGCTGAGAGAGGTTAAATGACTTGTTCAAGGCCACACATCTAGTGTCTGAGGCAAGATTTGAACTTAGGTCCTCCTGTCTCTAAGTCCAACATACTATCCACTATGTCATCAAATTAAAAAAAAAAACACAGAAGAGAACAGAAGGGGGACCAAGAGGAAACAGAGAAGCAGAACTACTCAGAAAATTACGTGTAAGTTTTATTACATACTTAAAAGGGAAAGCAAACTGTACTTAAGAGAAATTCACAGTTTCATGTACAATCCTATTTTTCCATTCTACTTTTAATGTAGAAATGCTAATTTTATTTGATGTTTGTTAAATTCAGAATAAAATAAATAAAATTCTAAGACAAGAAAAAAAAAGACTTCTTGGACAGCAGCCAAATGTGTGCAGTTCAGCAGGAGGGGTCCTTTGATGAGAATTTAGGCTGTTTCTGTAGTGATGTTTAAATATTGGTGGCCCTTCAGGAGTGTTTGAGCCCTTTAAGACTTCCCGATCCTCAAATCCTTTCAAAGGCAAAAATCAGGGGAAACCCAAAACTGTCTTGATTTTTCAATAAGAGAGATTAATAGTTTAAAGTTATTTCTCAGGGTATGTTGAGTAATAAAGCCCTGTCACTGTGTTAGGTATTATGCAAATAACTCTTTCTATTTTCTTGCAGTTGACAGTGTAGTATAGCAGAAAGACTCGGATTTGAATCCCAGCTCCAGGGCTTACCAAAGATGTGACTGTGGGCAAGTCATATGACTGGTCCCGGCCTCAATGTTCTGTTGTATAAAATGGGGACAATGAACAAATGATACCTACCAGAGGTTGTGAGAAAAGCATTTTGTAAACCTTATAACACTATAGCATTATTGTTTATTTACCTATTTATTGAGTGAGGGAGTTATTTATTAAGCACCTACAGTGTGCAGAATACCATTAAGTTCTGGAGAAGATAAAGAGTTTAGGTAAGACACAGCTTTTGTGGCCTGCCCCGCCTCCCCTCATAGAGCTTATGGTCCAGTAGGAGCATACTCACAAACATGGATAACTATTTTAAGGGAAAGCTTATGTTTTGTGAGATACTACCATTCAACAAGCAGACACTTGTTCCATTAGGAATAACATTTCCTTTGATGCCTGAGACTCCAAAAATCAGTCCTGATAGCATGCAGCTGAGACTTTCAATTTCCCCTTAGGACATCATGTAGGACTACAGAATAGATTAACAACTAAAGTGCCCAAAACCATGGATTTGTCTTATTCTCCCTAATTTGCAGCTGGAAATTTGGAGAGTAGTTATTGAGATTCCCCCCTGCCCCAATTTATTGTTCCAATGAAATGATCTTGCTGATTCTGTGGTGGTGTTTGCCTAAATTTCTGTTTAGCATGCCATGCTAATATGTGGATAGGCAGAATGGCAGGATAGGCAGGATTTTTTTTTTTTGGTGAAGCAGTTGGGGTTAAGTGACTTGCCCAGGGTCACACAGCTAGTAAATATCAAGTATCTGAGGTAGGATTTGAGCTCAGGTCCTCCTGACTCCAGAGCCAGTACTTTATCTACTGTACCACCTAGCTACCCCCCAAAATGGATATTTTTAAACTAAGCTGCTGGCTTTTATCAGAAGCTGTACACATACATACACACATACATATATATATGTATATATATATATATATATATATATGTATATATATACATATATATGTATGTGTGTATTTGCACACACACATATAATATATGTGTATATAAATATATACACATGCACACATATACAAAATATACTGTTTACACACATGTTTATATACATTTATGTGCATTACATGCATACATTTCCCCCTTCAACACTTTTAACTAACTTTTAGTATCAGAGATACAGGATCTGAAGGAAGAGAGAGACATATAGGAGGTAAAGAGGGGCCAGCTTGATGCCTCAGGTAAGAATAGGTAAGGCCTAGTCCTCTACTTAATTAGACACCCTTCCAAAAACAAATTGGAAAAAGCCTCGGGTTAATAAAGAGAGCTATTGTTTTCACTCAGTTTAATCTGGTGGGTTTCTCATCTCTCATGTTCAGAGAACAGCTGAGCAAAATTTTCTCTTGGGGCAAGGCCAGGGGTTTGGAGATGCCTTAGTATGCAGCCTGGATATGGTAGGCTAGAGGAAGTACATTCTAAGACATCATGAAATTTCCACCTTTCAAGCCCTGACATGTAATAAGGATTTGATCCTCATGTGTAAAGGAGGTAGGGTAGAAGATGCCTTACCTGATAGGTAGAAGGGTACTCCCAGGACTGTTGTGAGGATAACATGTGGTATTCTAAACATGAAGTGCTTTGGAAACTTAGGTGGCACATTGGATAGAGTGTTGGATCTGGAGTCAGGTCAGGAAGACCTGAGTTCAAATCCAACCTCAGACACTTACTAGCTGGGTGACCCTGGACAAGCCACTTAACACTATTTGCCTCAGTTTCCTCATCTGTAAAATGAGCTAGAGAAGGAAATGGAAAACCATTTCAGTATCTTTGCCAAGAAAAACCTCAAATTGGGTCACAAAGAGTCAGACATTATTGAAATGACTGAACAACAACAAAACTTAAAATCCCTAAATAATATTGTTAATGAAATGTAGTGGGAAAAGCACTGGACTTAGAGAAAAAAAAATGTTTGTCCTCTTCCCCAAGGCCTCAGGGTTAAGTGACTTGCCCAGGGCCACAAAGATAGCTAGCAAGTGTCTGAGGTAATATTTGAACTGAGGTCCTACTGACTCCAGGGCTAGTACTCTATCCACTGCACCACCTAGCTGCCCCCTATAGTACTTACTAGCTATATAGCTGGGGTGTTTTGAAGCTCAAATCAGATGATGGATGGTGATGATTCCACACCCTGAGCCTTCTACTGCATTTTTTGCTGAACTCAAGCAATGTCAATAGCAAAATGCTAGTAAATGTTTAACGATCAGGCTCTCTGGAATTTTTTTTAAATTTTATTTAAGCAATTGGGGTTAAGTGACTTGCCCAGGGTCACACAGCTAGTAAGTGTCAAGTGTTTGGTCTGAGGATGGATTTGAACTCAGGTCCTCCCGACTTCAGGGCTGGTGCTCTATCCACTGCACCACCTAGCTGCCCCTTGGACATCTTCTAAAAAAATATTTGCACACTCACTTTAATTTCAGTCTGCATTATTAGTATTTTCCACTTTCTAAAATCTAGACAATCTACAAAACAATAAATTAGGGCGTTGCCTACTTCTAAGGTATAAATGGTCACACTGAAAATTTAACAATAGGCTCCCTTTCACTGTCTCCTGCAATCTTGAGGTTCATGTCTTCTGGCAAGTCAGAGTGTGTGTGACGCAGTCTCCTGTTAATAGGCCTCTCAGTGAAGTTGTAGCTGTAGGGAGTACCTTCCTCAGAGAATCCAGGACTAGAGGTAAAGAACACTTGACCTGTCAAAGTTAGGATGTATTGCTGAGGCTAGAGATGTTCATCTCCAGATCATGGTTTGGTCACCTGTGTTTGGGAAGGAAATACAAAGCAGGGGCAGCAGCCAGGTTTTGAGATCCAGTCTCAGGCTCATTTAGACAAGCATATGCTGTCACTCCAATGTGTGAGCAGTCTCTATAGTTGCTAAATAGAGAGGGAAGAAAAATCTATTGCCCTTCATACTCCCATGCCCCAGGAAGCTCAAGGGAAGGCTCTCAGGGTCCCAAGCCACACGTTCAGAAGAGACTGAGAAAAGAAGTGGTTTCTCTCTTTAAAGTCCACCGAGTGGAGGATCTCCCTGATGGGCAGCCAATTCTCTTCAACAACTTCTTTGTCACGGAAAGAGGGAATGGAGATGGGGACCAGATAGTCTCTAGCTAGCTGCCTTTTTTAATAAAAGGTTTTATTGATACTTTTTTTTTATGATAGTTATTTACAGATTACCTCTCCTCCATGAGCAGCATCTTGTAACAAATAAAAGAATGAAGCAAAACTAATAAAACAGGGGCCTCTTCCAAAAGTACACGCCTTTCACACCTGTGGGACCTTCTTTACCTTTCTACATAATGCAGCCAAAGAGGGAATTTGTTTTGATTTTCTTTCCTCTTTTCAGGTAGCTATATCTATGTGTGTGCACGCATGTGTGCATGTATGTAGAGGCACACACACACACACACACACATATATATGTGTATATATAAATATATATACAAACACATGTGTCTCATTCCATACTCTAAATCTATCACCTCTCTGTCAGAAGGTAGATGGCTGATACATTTCATCACCGGTCTTTTGGTATCTTATGTGGTCATTTTATTGATCATAGGTTTTATATAGCTTCCAAAGTTGTTTGTTTTTAGAGTTTTCTTATTGTCATAGAATTTTTTCTCTTAGCTCTGCTCATTTCATTCTTCATCTGCTTACACATGTTTTCAGAACTGTTCATTTTTATATCATCTATGTTATAGCGTAAATTGTTTTTCTGATTCTGCTTATACCACTCTATGCCAATCCACATAAATCTTTTCACGTCTCTGAAATCATCTATTTCTTATTTCTTACAGCTCATTCCATGTGCACTTCATCACATTCATGAACAGTCACTTATTCAAGGCATTCCTTGATTGATAGGTATGTCTTTTGTTTCCAGTTTTTGCCACCACAAAAAGAGAAGCTGTAAACATGCTTTGTACATATAAGAACTTTTCCTTTCTTTGATCTCTTTTGTCATGAA